TGGTTATGCGCGCCAGCGGCCACGTGGGCGTGGGAGGTTTGGACGTGGGTGTGGTTGTTCTGGACGTGGGCGTGGCTCGTCTGGGCGTTGAGGTTCGTGAGAGCGGGCAGCGTGGGCGGCTGTTGCTGCTGCTGCTGTGGGTTGTAGTGGGCCGGCTGGGGCGGCGTGGGGGCAGTGGAGTGGGTGGTGGTGTGCGGGATGGGCGTCATGGTGTGGGTGGCGGTGTGGGCGTGGGGGGCAAGGGGGGGTCGTGGTAGTCCCTGTGCGAGGGCGGGAGGGACGACGACAGCATGAGGTCGCCTGGAAGACCCAACATGACCTGGATGCTGTGGAAGGTTCCTCCTCCTCCGCCGCCGCCCGCGGCTCCGCCCGAGAGGCTCGTCGGCGGCGCTACGCCCCGCCCGCGCTCGTGGCCACGCCTCCGCCGCCTCCTCCGCTGCCGCCTCCGGCTCCTGCGCCTCCGACGACGCCTCCAAGGTTCCCGCCCGCCGCGGAGGGGCCTCCGAGGGACTTCCCAACGACGCCGACGGGAGCTGCGACGGAGGCCGGACTGGTGGCGCTGCTGGAGGAGGGGGACTGCCCGTTCATGCCTCCTTCCCGCCCTCCGGCATCCAAGCTGGCGCGGCGCGGCGCTCTTCGGGCTGTTCCTCCGGGCTCCTTTCGGCGCTCAGCGGCCTTTGCGCGCGCTCGCCTGCTTCGTGAGCACCGATTGCTTTCTCTCTCGCTATTTGATTTTTTTTAAATTTCCTCTGTCTTTCTGTTTGGATCTGTCCCTTCGGCTTTCGAACCACAAAACTGCACAGGAATTAACTTGAGTTTGCCTTTTCTTTCCTTGGCTTCTTCCAAGTTCCTCTTATCTCCTTCCTTTCTTCCTTCTTCTTGCTCCTCCAGCGAGCGATGACGTCACGGGCTCACGTGGTGTCTTGAGGCGTCTCGGGCGTCGTGAAGGCCGAGTCTTCGTTAGCGCAATTGGCGGCTGCAACACGCACCTTATTTGTCACAATCACGAGATCGCTTAAGCCTACCCTCGGGGGCGCAGTCGCGGGCGGGGACGGCGGCGGGCAGGGCTTCCCTCGCAATCACGCTTCGTCAGCGCGGCGATGACACACTCCCTAATTGGCGTCCGTCTCTTAACCTGGCGTGTTAATCTCCTTCTTCCCCCCGCGTGGGTCCATCAGGGGGGGGGGGCGAGGGGTCTCGTTAAGCCCCGGGCGGTAGTTCCAATTGACGGCAGTTCCCGTCGCGTCGCTGATGGCTCGTTGTTAAGGCTAATCACCGGTCGGCGACGGCCTCGATGAGGGTCGCGGGGCCAAGATGCAATCGCGACTCTGGAGAGACCAACACCGCCTCCTCTTCGCCCAAGGACTCGAGGACTCTTCCAGAGCCTGTGGCGGGCCGCAGGACCTCGGGAAGGAAGAGGTAGTACTCGCTGGCCGCCCCAAGAGGGATCCGCGCCGAGGCCGGGACCTGCGGCTCCGTAGGCAGTGGTAATAAGTGGTAATCAAGGGAGCGGCGTCACGGCCGGGGCTTCCAGGGGCGCTGGCACTCGCACACAAGACGGCCGCCCGCCAATGGTCACAATTGGGGGCTCCCCACGCCTCGCGATCCTAGAAATATCCTCTAACGAGAACAATGGGCGGGTAATCAGCAGTCGCAACTTTCCGCGGGTCGCCCCAATTCCGTCCGGCCTGCGACTCTAACTAGTCTCAATTGGTCTCCGGCTTCCACTAATTTAGCCAGGAAGGCAAAGCGCTCACATCGACTTGATCAAATCTAACCACCAACTTTTCTTTATATACGGCAATTATGCTCGTTAGGGCTAGTCGTCCCCGCCCACCGCCGCCTCGACCAATCGCCTCACTAGAAGTGGCGCTGCTGCCATCTTGGCCCGCGCTCAGCAGCCAATGGGAGGAGGCGACACTACCCAGGGTCCTCGAGGTATGCCACGCCCAATCCGCCAATCAGAACACGGGTTTCTTAGGCTCTCATCTTCATATTCCAGTTACCATTGGACGGACTGCTAAGGCGAAGGCCAATCACGACGTGCATTCCGGGAGACTCGTGACGACAGCAGCGTCGGCGACCAATGGGAGGGAACCCTGGGTACCCTCATCGTGACGTCACGCACACGTGCACATGCCACCCTGCGATGCGGGAGGAAAAAATCTGCGGGAGACGCAGCGCCGTGTCTTATCATCATCGCCGAAGTGCGCCTCGGAATAGTGCCATCCACCTCTCGATCTGGAATGCCCGAGAGGCCCATGACGCCGGCCCTGAGGCGAGGAGGGGGCCTTGCTGTGGCACCACAGGAGGCACCACAGGAGGCACCGCCAGGAGGCACCGAGAGGTCGCTGTGGTGCGGTGTGGTGAACCCCACAGCCTCGCCTTCCACACTGAGCTGCCGGGCCCATTATTCTATTAAGAAGTCATTACCCGTCTATTATGAAGCTGCCCTACCCTGCCTCCCCTCGCTGTCTCTCTCCTTCTTGCTACCCTCACT